TATAACTTAAATAACAGATATAATAATTTAAATTTGTGTATAAATAATTGACGAAATTATCATTGTTTTTGAACGCGAATTAATTAATTCTGTTAACAGGAAATGTAGTTCACCGGACATTAGTCAGGAGTTCAATCGCCCCTGATTATCCTGGTCCGTTTATTATCACCGTACGTTTTGGTCTGACGCGTATAGACGCAATCGCTCATTTACCACAATGGGCACTGACCAAACAGATGCCTAATCCATCTCCCCCTCATTTGAATATCACCATTCCTACAAAAAGGGAGAAACGCGGGAGGCTACGTGCGGACACACAATGAACACGGAAAAATGCTTTGGGAAAGATCGCGAAGATGAACGGATGTCCTCAATAGCCAGCTGTACTTTACAGTAAATTATATACGTATTCATGATATGACATTACGTGATAGCTTATCTGATAATCCTGGTCAGCTAATCGTCTATATTGGAGAGTATAGTTAACTACTTTTGACAGATAAGCAACGATAAAGCAAAATGTTTTTAAGAAAGGAATCTTTGAACAAGAAAAGTAATTTGTGCAGCGGAATTTGCAAAGCTCAAAATAGGATTAGATTGGACTACTAAAGACCAATTGGTAAAGCTATAATTCTTAGGTGACCGGATGATCTTTCCACAGTCCCATACCGTTGCTGCGATATTAAAACGTACTTCAGCATTTCTTGAGCCAAGAGAAAGCATAAAGTATTTCTTCTGACTAATATTATAAACAGTTTTTTAATATACAAGAAGCCAATCCAGCAATCAAGTAATTGTACATTGAGAGACATTTGAAAATTAAGTGACTATGTGTGTTGTAGTGCCCCATGTTGGCTGGTCGTGTATAATAATTTTCCACTAAATATCCTCATCGGAAACGAAAAAGTAAGAATATTTTACAGTAAGTTTTTATGTTAGGACTTGATGTTTTCAAAATCCTGATATTAGTTTTATTTGACATGCCTAATAAAATAAATTTAGAAAGAAGAATTTTACAAAGTAAAATGTTTAAAGTATTCAAGCACGAACATAAAAAAAATATTAATTACTTTTTTAGCCCAATTAAAGCAAAATTTAAGGGTAAATACATTATATTTCGTGGTTCGATTGACTAAATAACATCTGTCCATTAATAAATCTTTATGTAAGTTATTAGTTGAAATGAATTGAAAAATGACAAAAAGGAGGGAAAATTCGAAAGGAGGGTTGAGAGTGGAGGTTGGTGTCTGAGTAGATCGAAGTCACAATAGCTTAAGTGGTTAGAGCAGCGGCGTATTTACCCGAAGGTCGTGGGTTCGAATCCCGCTTGTGACCCTAAATTTAAGGTTATAGTTTATTACACACTATTTATAAAAGATTGTTGAACTCGGCGAATCTGAGTTATTTTACTACTCTAGTAAGAGAAATTTTAATAATGAAATAATCTCTAAAAATATCATAAATTTAATAATGATAAGTTATTTTTTATGAATAAGTTGCTTTTATAATTTATTTTTTATCTTTTTTTTTAATTTTATAGATAGATACAATCAAAAAACAATTTCATAAACATATTCTTTTTTTGCATAGATTTTGGACTGAAACCTGTTCTGTTCCACCTCTTCAGATGTTTTCAATTTAAAAACTAAAGAAGAACCATAATGTATTAAAAAGTGATACGAAAACAATTTATAAAAACATATCCGTGTTTATGTTTACGAAGCATCGGAGATTACATTCACATATTTTCAATTTTCTTTCAATTGTTATCTTGAGTGACGTTATGCGTCGTCAGATCCAATAAAACATGCTATTTTATTATATAATAAATATGTTTATTTTAATATTTTATATACACATTATTGTACATTCGTATTTATATTATTATTACTAATATTAATCCACTAGTTATTTTCATTTTGTTTAATTTATAATTGATATTAATAAAAATTTTTAGTATTTGCTTACTTACTGTAGTTTAATCTTTTTGTTCTTTGATACTATTCTTTTCCAAATTTATTACACATTTTTCAGCCACATTATTTTTTTCATTTTTATTCCAGTTTTCTATTATTTTCACATTTTAAAAATTGTTGTTTAAAAAAGTTGTTTTAGTCACGTTTTCTTGTTTCGCCAACCATCTTTTTACTAGCTATATTTCTTTTGTGATGATGTGACTATTTTTAAAAATTGTAAATTTTTTAAACGAAAATTGTTTACAAGAACAAGCAACGTTATGCGTTATATAATCAAAGAGGAAAAACAGGACACTGTTATTTTGTTGATTTTTTTGGAACGATATGTATATCTATCGTTTTATTAATTACAAGATAATTATGTTAATGTAAACCAATTCAAATGAGATTAGAAATTCGAGAGTTTTAATTTAAAAAAAAAATTAGATATGATGGGTTGAAAGAAAATTCAACAAAACACAAGAAAATATTTTTATGTTATTGTAAATTGATAGTTAAATTTTCATCTGTCACTAAAAAGTTTTCTGATTTTATTTCAAAGCATCATAATTGAAATAGTTTTATTAAAAATAATGAATATTTTCCAAGATATCAAATATTAATATTTGACCTTTTAAGTTTGGTTTACTTTTAAATGAGTATGTTTTAAATGATATAACAATAAAAATACTTTAAGTTTGAAATAACAACAAAATACTAGTGTCCGTTTTTTGTGTGTGTGTGTGTTTGGGTGTATTATTTATAGGTGTAAATGAAGGATATTTTTATGAATTTTTTGGTCTTCTTTGTCTATGAAATACAATTAATAACAAATATTCAATTTCTGAAAAAATCTGCCTGAAATTTTCACCCATAATCAGCCGAAAATTGTTTACACTATCATAAATAATATAATTAGAAGTCTGTAAAGTTCATTAATTATCCTAGACAAGCTGGAATTCATCCATTAATTCTATAAAACTGCAAATATGCTTTAGCACCATATTCAGTTTTTTGTACTATTTAATCTGTCTAATATAAAAAAAATATTTTATCATTTTTTCTTTTAAATAAATTAACTTGTCAAGAAAGTGAAATTTATGCTATAGCACATTTCTTGTTTTTAAGCGACAATTTTAGAAATGGAAAATCTAGAATTTTATTTTACGAAATAATTATTATCCTGGCATGTAAACATTATTTAATGAAGTGCCCTATAAAGAGAGAATTGAACGAAAATGTTAAACAATTCAACGCAACCAAAAGGTGAAAGAAACAGGTTCCTCGGGCAAAAACGAATGAATACACTGTTAACTTAACTTCAATTGAATAATTCATAAAAGTCACTTTGCCAGGACCCCCTTAAATCACGGCAATACTGAATTAATGAATTTTCTTGAGTGCCGTTAATTATGTTCACGTTAACACTTAGGGTGGAAATGCTCACTCAACGGCGCTTTCTCATTCTTCTGCACCAGTTGCTTCATACATCTATGTGGGATTTCCTTTCAGAATATGTGACTTCTTTTATTTATTTATCAGGGGAGAAAATAATATTTCAAAATGACTTTTCTTTTTATGTGATAAACGACTTTTTCTTCTTTGTTATTTGTGGATTATTACAAATGTGAGGCTCATGTGAAGTAAGGATTTACATAAATTATAAGGAAAGTGGTAGGAAATACATATTCGATTATCGTTAAACATTTATGCTATGAAAAGACAGAAAACATTTATAGCAGTTAAGTGTAGGTTGTTCAGTTCTAACGAATTATAAGCGTTAAACGAAAACAGCCTAGATATTTAATGATCTATCGACAAACCTAATGAGCCATTAAAAGGTTGTTGAATATATAACCCTTTTAGATATTTATGATACTCCCAAACAATTTAAAATTTAAAATCATTAAAAAAAATGAATTCCTAATCTTTTTTGAAGTATTTTATATATTTATTTCTATACGAATGGGGATAATGCTAATGCGCTGTACAGTGATCACGGGGTCTCGGCCATCAATATAGATGGGATTATCATTACAAAAAAACCTTTATCAGGTTCGAAACCGACAGGAAATGCCAAAGGCTACAAGATGACGACTTCACTTACGTTCACACATCCCGCAATGTGAGGCAAAAGAAGAAGTCGATTTCAATGTGGTGAGATACAATTTAGGGCTTACAGCGTGCAATGCGGATAGGCAACAACGACCGTAAGACCATGAAGTTTTTGGTAAATTTCAAAAGTAACAAAAACGGAGAAATTACCGAATGAATTAAGGTTATGGCATAAATCACTAATTTATGTAGTATAGACTTGGTGGAACATCACCCTAGGGCAGACCCAAACAAGAAAGTTTATTCTAACCATACTATACGTTAACGGTCACAACTCGGCAAAACATTGTGAATGTACAGCGTAGTATTTAAGAATAATATCAGTGGATATTTATTTTTAATAATAAAAGGATAGAGACAATTTAACAATATTGAGATCCGGGTGGCCACAAATTATTCAAATTTTTGTGGAGCCCTGATTCATCCACGCCCTGATTCAGTTTCCTCCTTAGATAATGTTATGCGCTTTCTGCTTTGCTGCTGCACTACTTATTGTTATGAAGTGAGCAAGCCTTAATTTCGCAACTGTACAATTTTTAAGCTTATGTTTTCCCAGGGTTTCCGTTGGCTTTAGGTAACGATTAATATATCTGCTTATTGCAGAACCTCCCAGCCGTAAAGCAGCTGTTACACAATCTCATCAACAATTTGTGGCAAGTTGGGATGGGGGGCTTCAGAACTGTAGATATGCCATCGGGTCCGGGAGGTTTCTTGTTCTGGCGAGAACTTGCTGATAAAATGATTAGTTAATTCTTCGTTAATACTTATTATTTGAGTGTGTAGAGATTAGTGACCGTTAATCGAAGTAATCGACCGCATCTCACGATATCTGAATTACTTATTATTTGATAACGATTTAGGCCATTTTGTAACAAAAGTGCTTTGCTTTTAAAAAATTTGAAGTTACCGAAACTCAACACAATTGCTTACCTCTAAAATTATGCTTCCAATTTATAAACTGAGCATCTCATCTCCTGAAATATAAAAAAAGGGAAAATTGGTGCATCATTTATTGTGTTCTGGCTGAAAATTATTTTTATATGGCAGTAGATAAATTAAATATAAATTTTAAATACCAATGTTTTTTCATGATGTCATTTCAAACCAATAAACATAATGGATTTGTAAAAAGATTGATCTTGAATAGCTAACCACAAACCGGCCTAAAGAAAAAAGAAAGAAAATGGAAAAGGAAGTGTTCAGAAAGAATAAAATGATAATGAAGAAGACAATAAACTTTTTAAACAAAAGTCGAAAAAATGTTGCTCATGATGCTACCAGCGACAACGCTGATTATAACAAGTGCCTTAAAACTACCTGCAACACCATCTGCGTATATAAGTGCAAATTGTATGTATTGTTGTTAATTATAATTCAACCCAAAATTATTATTATTATTAGTGTTATGGTTTTTTTTAATATTTTTCAAAAGTTAATAATGTTTGGTTATGTGAGAAATTATTTATTACGATAAACTATTTGATTTCATCTATATTTATTTGTCTGTTACATATTTAAATATGTGTTTATTGCTAATGATTTAGGAATTCTGAGATGTCTGTGACTGATCCCACAATTTTGGTTAAAAGAAGTTTAAAATTTAGTAATTTTTAAAAATTTTTTGATTATAGGCTTATCTCAGAATTTGCAAAATGCTTATGTTTCAGGTTAAAAAATTGGAACATCCAATAAACGTGGTGGCAAAGCCTAGGAAAGAGAAATGTTTTCTTAAATGTAGCTGTTACTGGACTCCTGGTCCTGGATGTATATATGTATATAAATAAATAAAATAAATAAATAAATATATATATATATATATCACATTTTTGTAATTATTAAATTTGGTACATGACTATTGTCGAATGGCTTTATTTATTAAAAAAAATAATAATTATATTTTACATTTTTCGCAGTATTTATTTGTCCTACCTGTGTTAATAATTAATAGAAAAAATATTTAACGTTCTCGTTTAGGAAAAATTTATAAGACTTGTTGAATTGGTAGGTACACTATTAATAAAAAAAAGTCGGGTTCATATTATTTTCATCCAATTTGTTATGGTCCACCAGAAAGCGTCTCATATCTCGTTTTACACCAACAAAATATTAATTTAGTTTAATTCTGCCATTGTGTGTTTTAACAAGCTGGGAAGGTATGAAAACAGCTCAGTCTATAGGAAACGTATAATTGCTTTTTACATTGTTAAAGAACCTCCGTCAGGAATGAAAGATGATTAAGACATAGAAACATATACTACCGGTGACTCAGAATTTACTTAATTATATGTATACTTATTGACCTATCAAATATTGTTTGTTACATGACACGATCCTATTTTGAAGATAATGTTTAATAATAGTAGCAAAAAAATTGCTTTATAATGGATTACTGATTAATAAAATCTATCCACAATCTGGTATCGATAAGGGAGGAAAACTTAAACAAGGAAAAACTGGGAACGAGAACTTTATCCTCGCTATTGATTGGAACTGTCCGAGGTTCTTGATCGGCGCAGATCCAGGCTTCAGGGTAAACAAAGCGAGTCGGGTCGTAAACAAACTCCAGCGGCTCCCTGCCTCACAGCATAATGACAGACTCCGGCCGGAGTGATATCAAGCGAAGCCACGCGGTCAACAGGCTATTAAAACCGTTTCGGAATGCGGAAGAGGTCGATTCGCATTGGCCTTTTGTGTCTTGCGCCCTGTTTGTCAAACCTGTATTTATACGTAAGATTGTTCCTGAATTTTTGATACAGCCCAGGAATTTTCTTAGGAACTTTAAGAAAGGTAATATTTTTTATATTTTTTACAATTTTTTTGCAGATAAGATTCAATTTTTCCCAACAAAGTGATGCCTTATTTGTCGTTAACCGGATATAGTAATCATCAANTACACTTTTTTATCTAAGGTCTTGGAACTTCAGATTTAACGATACCACAAGATACCTCAAGTAGTTAGTGCAGCGGCGTATTGAGCCGAAGGACGTGGGTTCGAATCTCGCTTGTGACACTAACTTTTAATCTCATCCAATTCTTTAAATAAAAAGAATCTTTAATTAATATAATAATAATAGTATTATTAAATCATTTTGAAAAATCTGAATCTGAAATCAGAAAATTATTTATCGTACGTCCTCAGGGAAAAGTAATTTTTTTTTAATTTGCAGGGTTTTCGAATTTCACCCCGAAAGGTTGTCACTTTCCGATGTACTGACCCCAGGGTCTATACATCACAGTTCACCGACCCCGTTATCTGACTAGGTCACTAGTATCCCTCTTAATCCAGATGCACAGGATTCCAACCAACGGGGTTTTCGATAGCTTATCAATTAATAAGCATAATTTTGATGACGGAATTCTTTTCTAGGACTGTTTTAAAGTTTGTTTTAGTTAATGTACTAGTTTTGTATAGTGCTTCGTTGATAAGAAATTATATCTTTATCTGTTTACTATTGATTCAGTATAGAAATTAAGTTTTTATTATTGTTCAATTATGCCTCCTTGTTACAAAACTTAGTAGGCTGTACATGCACAATTTAAAGTTTGGAACGAGAGTTTTATATGATTTTATGCTCATTTATTAATCTCAACATGTACGCATTAGGCAGTTTTTTCTACAAGAAACTTTATTAAAAACCTTTTATCCAATCTTGAATTTGACACAAGGCAGCCTTCTTTTCAAAGTTTTTTTTTTCTCAAGGCTAATTTAAATTTAGCCGCGTATCCAACATTCACCGACCGTTGTAGTCGTTTGATTGAAAATGGAAGAATCTCGTTTTCAATTGGTTGATGCCGGTCTGGAGTCGGCTACAGAAGATATTGTAAATCCTTTTCAATCGGGGATTGCCAAGCCTGGGGGATTCTTTCAAGGTAAAACAGTTTCCTCGTGATATCCACTGCTGAGAGATTGAAAGGCGTCAACCTCTCCTCCCCGTTTCCTCCATCGTCCTTTTGGGTTAAAAGCCCCAACAAAACCCAAGAGTGAGGGGTAGAAAAGAAGGCCCATCCTCCTGCTCGGTAACACTAAAGTTTTACAAGAGACGAAACTTTAAAAGCGAGACTTCCAGAACCCCTTCTTCAATTAACTAAACCTGAACACTCTCACCCCAGCTCGGGGAAAAAGATACCTTACATTAATCGCCGTTAATTGAATTTACACGTGCTTAAACACGGGTTTCTCCATTACATGCTTCGGTTACACAGGGTGTTAGAAAACTTGCGAAACATCTTATTATTTAGAATTCAATGAGTCCACGGGTATATGTTTTCATCATTCATCAAGGACTAAAACAAAACAAAATCAAAACCGACTCAATTCGACTAAAATCTAGTACGATTTATCTGGTTTGTACATCTTAAAATGCATCTTTAATCAATTATATTATCAGCACCGTTAATTCATATTCCTTATGAAGTTATGATAAACCGGCTTTTATCTAATATATTAATGTTGAATATACAGTGACACGAGTATAGAAACATTATTGAGAAATCGTACATTTACATTCATTTTGGGTATTTCTCAAACGAATATAAATGAAACCCCAACAAATTGTGCATAATTTTGAACTTTTTACGGATAATCACCTGATTTGGTATCCTCCCGCAAGACTGAAAAAAATGAGAAATAACCAGATTATAAATTACTAAACAATTAACTTACTTGACCCATGAACAAACTTTAAACGATAGGCTATGTGAGATTGATACACCGTCACATACTTTCGGCCAAAGTTCGCTTATGTGTCCGGCATGTAGAGAAAGGTTGCTCGATGTGTCTCACGTACTTGAGGGGTGCAATTCCTTAGCTACCTTTAGAGAGTTTGTTGGGGACGGGGGTACGAACCGATTTGAGAACCATGTTTGAGAACAGCAGCGAGTATCTGAGTACCCAGTTCAGATTTTTGGGGGAAACAGGTCTGTTTTGTATAATAATGATAGTTATTGTGTATCTAGCGCGTGTGTGTGAATGTACTTATTAGAGTGAATGTGTGGTATGAGAGGATCGATGGCGGAATATGGAGTATTCACCACCCTAACTGAATGAGTATTGTGTAGATAGGACAGAATGAATTTAAGAAAGTACGGTAGTATGAATAGTTTTGAAACAGAAAGCGTTGGATGCGGAATTCGACTAGCTATTGAAAGCATCTTCTCCCGGAGGTTAGGTTTCCGGACGCATAAGACTGAAGTCTTCCCGGACTGGCAACACCCAGGGTAGGTGATTTTCGAGGCATGCCGGCAATTTATTGTAAGTTGCCACCGCTGAGATTGCGATAGGCTCAACCTTGAACATGTTTGTATGTACGTAGGTAAAAAAACCAAAAAAAAAAACCTAATATATCATCAGTAAGTATATAAATAGAAATGAGCAAATTATGAATAATTAAAATGAAACATAAAAAACTTAAATTAAACTCTTGTACAGAATAGAAAGAAACAGAAAGTGAAAACCTGAATGGTTGATGAAAATTAATGCACTACACTTGAGATTGGTGACAGAGGAATATCAAATATCTGAGACAGGTAATAAAAACTACTTACGTAATTAAATTAATTTAATATTAAATTATTAGACTAGAATTCTTACATAGAAAACCCACCTCTTTATATATTGAGCCAAATAATCATAAGAGTGAAATTTTAGAAACATTGCTTAATACTACATACTAACATTTAACAATAACTGTTTAGACGAAGAACAAATGCTAATTTTGTAGGCTTACTATATTCCAATGTAATTAAAAATCGACAAAAAATAAATTCAATTTAAAATGTTAATATCAAAAACAAATTTAAATATGTAAACATGGCTGCCTTGTCTCCCCCCGCCAGGGAACGATGTAAATATCTTATGCGTTTTTACAACATTTGGACCACACGAAAGTAGCGATTCCTCGACTAAAGCCTAATGGTTTTCCTTGCTTTTTGAATTTGGTCACCCGCATTCCTCTTTGGCCTGTTGGCCGAGACG